GATCCTATGGTAGCATTTCAAAGATTCTCTATGCATGCAGATATCAATCCCAATCGCGATAAACTTCTATAAACTACTTGATCAGGGTTACTGTTTCAAAAGTACCAAGTGTATCCATAGTTTTGCTGAGCCATAAAATGAAGTTTGTCAGCCAAATTGTCAAGTTATTTCAAACGGGCACAAGTCGATCTAGCGCAACTCCACCCTCTGTCTTCCATAGAAAAGTTCATGAATAGTTGCATAATTATTATTATTATTATTGAATCAGGAATATTCGAAATTCGAAATTACAATTTCTGCATGGGCCAACATTTTATCTAAAAGTGTTATCGGTACGGCACCATTACCCAGCATTGTCAAGACTATGGAATGTTTTTAATTGAATAAATCCTACTTTCTTAATTTCTTCAGCAGATGATGATTTGAATGACAAACATCAGCCGAGCAATTGCACTCGCTATCAACTCTTCAAATTGAAGCATCTCACACTTTCTTGGCATTTTCTTTCTACAGATGTTCCAGATATAGATTCACCGCCAGAGCTTCTTGTAATAGAGGAACCTTCTGTATCCATGCGAGGTCATCTGACCAAGAGCTTATCAATCGAAGTTGTTTGTACATCATTATGCAAATAAATATTATAATTTGTTCACTTTAACTAAACTGTTCGAAAAAAGTTGAAGTATCATTATATTTTCGCTAGGAAGACATTTTTCTAGAAAAAATGTGGTATAGCTATCAATATCTATGTGGTGCATTTGAAAATATTCGGGGGTAATACCACAAGAGCTCAGATTTAGCCGGATATTTTTTGTGGTTGTTTTCGAATACTTACTTTCATTGGCAATTTAACGAGAGCTGTTCTGACAAAATCACGAGAGCGTAGCTCCAGTGATTTTGTCCGAATAGATCGAGTTAAATTACCTATATGAAAGTAAGTATGAGAAAACCACCGTAAAAAATATCCTGCTAGATCTGAGCTCGCGTGGTATTTGGTAAGACAATTCCATGAATAGAATACTCAATTCAATTAAACTTTATTTAACCAACTAAAAGAACAACAAGTAAAAGAATAATGTTTAGAAAGAACAGTTGTTAAAAACACAATTATTATATACAATTGGTTCAGTAGACATTTGCTCCTTTACTGATGTAGATTTTGTGTTTGACATTGACATGGATGTGGACACTATGGCTGATTCATTATCCAAAGCTTTATTTCGAAGATTTGTTACAAGATGCGAATGATGCTCATTATCAAGTTGTAAATGAGGCTTTATGGACTTGGAAGAGGAATGTCCAGTTATTTTTATCAATTCTTGTTCATTGATACCTGCTTTAGCTAGAGTTGACACGGCGCTTGAGCGATGAGAATGATTAGAAATTTTTTTATTCTTTGTATCCAGTCCAATTTTTTCAGCTGAAATTTTCGTCCACTTGAGAATTTCGTTGACTCCTATAGGAACATTTTTGTACCAACTTTTCGGTGAATTACTTTTCCAAAACGGATTGGGGGTTATAAATAATCTATCAGTTGTAATATGGTTCGGTCTATGTGATAATATTTTATAAAACAATGTTACTGGGCATATGCTTGGGTTTTCTATGTTTTTTATTAGCCATTTACTGTCGCAGCATTTGTTTGAGCCGCCCTGACATGTTTTGGAAAAAACTGTATTATATTCAATGCGGCCAGTAAAATCACCATTATTTGATTTTTCTTCTTTAAAATAGTGTACTACACATTTTGCAGCTTCACCTCCTCGCCAAGCTAATTCATATGCAGCGATATGAAAAAATCTTTTTAAAAGACCTATAGGACTATTTTCATCCCATATCAATGCCATTTTAACAATTTCACTTTTAGTCAAGGCTGTTGAACTATTTTTACGTTTTTCTAAATTACCTTGTAAGTTCTTTCGCTTAGAATTACGTGCATCACGGGATTTCTTGAATGCCAAATCAGTGAAAGGATTGAAAATAACATTAAATTTTTCGAAATACATGCTTTGCAACATCTTCGCTGTTGTGTTCCACATTGTTTTCACCACGTATTCTTTATAATCTTCCCCATTCTGTTTCTTCATATTAAAGCCCCAGTCCATCAATATTCCTGCCACATTTTCCACTGACTGTTCGGTTTCCAAATTGAAGTTTCGTTGTTTACAAAATTCGCTGAATTGATTCCAAATGGAGGATTGACTTTTTTTTGTATTTTCTGGAGTTGATTTTTCAATCTCCCTCACTATTTCTGCCTCGCAAATGTTTCCAAATCTCGACATACTCACTGGAATATTATTTGCTGATTAATTCTGTTTTTGACATTTACAATTGTCAAACTGATGCGACGCGCAATAACGCTTGATGAACGAACAGTAAATACTAGCGTTGCTACGGTAACGTAATTTATCCGATTTTTTTATCCACTTGCATTTCTGTTCCTTCATATTTAGCCGATAGCAAACTACGATTTTTGTACTCGCAAATGGAAATTATTATACATGAGTGGAATTGTCTTAATTCATTTCTATCAGTTTATATTGAATGAAAAACACGAGTATATTGAACTCATCGATGTACCATGAAGTTTTCGAGTCATGACTCAAAAACTTTCTATGAAAAGGGTTTAGATCGAATTATCAATGAGCCAAATTTTCTCATGTTTTCGTTTTTCGAAAATTATGGGTCAAACATTAGAACCACAGGCGTTGCTCTAAGCTTGGATTAAAGCATAATAGATGTTCTACAATCTCACTTTTGATTTTCTTCCTCGTAGGATCAGTATTATCTACAATATTTCACACGACAGTTGGCTCAAACTTTGCAATATCACATTGAGAAAAAAATTTTAATTTTTAAAATATTGAACGTCTGAAACTCACAGAACTTCAGGGAAGACAGATGTTGTCAATAGGGTTATACAAACTAGTCAAATTCACGCCAGATACCAATTTTATATTGATCATTTCAAGAATAAAAATATTATTTTATGCAATCATTCGTAATTTAAAATCATCACAAAAACTTTCTTCGATAATTGAAATCGGCACCTTCAAAAAACGCCAGCTCTAGATAACGTCATATACCATCTCACGTGGTAATATTGATCTTTTTTTATATATTACCTTACGAGGTTGAATATGACCAATGACAGCAGTATTCACATTCACATAAGACAATGGTTCCACCTGGTCCTTAAAGATCACCTATTGAATACTTATATACAGTGTGTCCACCTTAAGGACTTACCACCCCTGTAAAATTGTTATTATCTGACCGATTTCAAAGAACTTTTTTTTGTTGGATAGGTATTTGAAATGTCCATCCAACAAGAGAATGATTTTACTCATGAACTGTAATCGTGGCCAACTGCGACCAACTTTATTGACCCATATTTGAGAAAGTACTATTAGGGATTTTTTTTCACAAAAAACAATGATGGATTCTGAATCACGATCACTTGAGAAACACCATTACTGATTTTCATCATCATAAAACACAGGGTGTCCGAAAGAAGGAATTATGTTTTTTTTTTAATAGGTGATCAGAAAATGTAGTATTATGGTGTTTTTGAGAAGAATTGATGACACATTATTATTGAGGATCACTTTGAACATATCTGTACCGATTTTCATCATTCAAAAATACCATGTGTATGAGAAAACAATTAAAAAGAAAAAGTAGGCAATATTTTTTCATCAACTCAAAAAAAATATTAATTCAATTTTTCGAACACCCTGTGTTTAATGATGATGAAAATCGGTACAGGTATGTTCCAAGTGATCCTGATTCATCTTTCTATTTTGAGTGAAGAATTATCAGGATGAAAAATATTGCTTACCTATCCTTTTTAATTTTTTTCTCAGACACATTGTATATTCAAATGACGAAAATTGGTACAGGTATATTTGAAATAATCCTCAATGATAATTTGTGATTATTTCTTTCTAGAAAAACTACAGAACTACATTTGCTGATCACCTATTAGAAGAAAACGATGATTCGTTTTTTCGGACACCCTGTGTTTTATGATGATGAAAATCGGTACAGGTATATTTCAAGTGGTACTGATTCAGAATCCATCATCAAGTTTCGTGGAAAAAAATCCCTAATAGTACTTCCTGGATAATGGGTCATTGAAATTTATCGCAGTTGGCCACGATACCAGTCCAAGAATTAGATCACTCTCTCGTTAGATGGGCATTTCAAATACCTATCCAACAAAAAAAGGTTTTTTGAAATTGGTCGGATAATAACGATTTTACAGTGGTGGTAAGTCCTTAAGGTGGACACACTGTATATTTCAAGATGCTTCAGTGCCAAAAAGAATATTCTAATATCCGTCATAAGGAACGAGATTTTATTTAAACCCAATTTATTTTGTGACCCTGGCAACAGCATAATGCTTAGTTTACAAAAATATGAAGAAACCAAGCCAAATTCTAACCTAACTTTTTAACGTGATCCTCGTCTCTCACCTACATTTTCAAAACCTATCATCTATTCAAATGTAACAAATACTACGAATATTAAAATATAATCCTCAGATTATCAGATCCTTTATTTGTGTGTAATGTTCTCTGTTACCTGCAGTAAGTACTCAGTTTAGAAAATCTATTTCGTATTTTTATAAAAATGACAATTACAAAAATGTTCTTGCACTTGTCTTACAGATATAGAGAATGGATATGTAAGTCGAATCTTACATGATTGTGCTGAATTATTCACGGGTAATTTCGGCACGCGTTATCCCGCCTTTTTGGATGTTATGGATTTCAGTAATTATTTTTTCAGTAATTATTTGAAAAATGTACAGAGCTCTGAGGAGGAAAAACGGTTTGTGGCAGTATACTAGTCAGGGTTAGAACTTCGAAATATTAAAATAGAATTTTTCACTGAAACATGCCCATTGATATCATTAACTATTAGAGTAAATTTTATTATTGACCGGTAGTAACGAAAAACGATTTCTCATTTGGCAAATATCATAAGATACATACTTTTTTTCCAACAAATTTGAAAGGGCGGGGCACATCATCCATGAACAGATTCTTCAGACGTTCTTCTCGTTGCTTAGTTATACCATGATGCGAAGATATGGTGAGCAAATCAATTGATCTTCCTTCTATAGTTCGACAAACTGTTTCTTTCACATAGTAAATTTCATCGTCGGTTGTGGGTGTAATACTGAGATATTTGGAGTCAATATTCAGCAACATTTTTTCCAAATCAGTGAAAGAAAAAGGATACGTGAACGCAAAATACATTACACTATCCGGATTCTCTGGTGTTCGGAATTTGAAAGTTAGTGTGAATATATCATCGGCTAGCTGAAATGAATTTGAAATAATATGTAAAACTATTGTGACCAACAATTATCAGTCATACATTTTATACAGGATGGTTTAGTTGTATATAGATCATTTTAGATTTTAGATTGTAAAACATTACAATTTGAGTCAACTTGCCTCAATAAAATATTTTTCATAAAAGAAATTAGTGATTTGGTCATACAAAAGTAGTAATATACACACAGGAATGCAACTTTGACACATAATTGAATCCAATAAAGAATATGCACTTCTACTATTAGATAAACAGATTGTTTATCGAATCGTTACATATAGGAGTATCAAGAAGCGATGGCATTTGGCAAAACCGCAGTCACGAAAAGAAACGCTCACCGTTAGACAGTTGGGCGCAAAATGAATTTCAGTTTTGATTCTCTTAGTGGAGACTAGCGAAGACGTACGATCATGTTGCCATTTATATGCCCTGTATGTAACGATTCGCAAACAATCTCTATAATACGGGGTGATTCAAAATTCACTACAAGCATTTCGAGGGCGTCTTTTTGAGGTCAGAAAAAAATTCTTCACATGAACATGTGTCCTAATATGTGAAGCCTGCAAACCACAGTGCAAAAAATGTCCCTGAAAGTTCGCAAATCCCTATTAGGCAATTTATGCACTCTATTAATTTTTTTCTCAAAATAGCATGAACCTAATTCAATGAGTGGAAATATCTCGGATAGGGTACATTTCAGGACACATGTAGATAGAAAAAAGTATAATTTTGTTTTATTCTGAGAAACTCTGTGAATTTATCTTTGTAATATGAGGACGAAAAATAAAATACCATTTGGGATAATGACAATAATAAATATTTCATACTGACATTATATACAGGTTTATCAGTAATACGCTCCCATTTTGGTTTACTTGGAACTATTCTGTAGACAGGAGCCATGCCCTGACTATACATCTTGCCTTGTCGGTTGAGATCTACCATATTGAACCTAACATGTTGTGATGCAAATGGAGCTGAAAAAAAATAGTTTCAATGTAACGAGTGCATATTGGTTCATGGAATGTCTTCAAACGAGACTAAGTACAATTTTATAATTCATATGAGATCTACAAAACTATCTCACGCATTATTTGTAAATAATAATAATAATAATAATAATTTATTCACATATACATCCAATAAACAGATACAGTTTATGCATGGTGAAAAATATAACAGAATCCTTGTAAGTACAATACTTAACACTGAGTATCCATATAGTTGAAGATTTAGGGGTGAATAAATTGTAAGTCTACAGGAGGCAAGGCCTGTGCGTAGACTAGTTCTATTTCCCAACAACAATATAGGCACGAGGTAAATTATTGTAGATGCAAATGCAACAGTTAGATCTGTTTCATTTTATCATTTTCATGTTTTGGAGATTTCACTTTCTTATGAGTCGTTTGTATTGGGGGTGCTATAGGACTTCACACTTCACAATAAAATATTTCAATGGTGAATGACTTCAATTATTATATAACTACTCCGAATTTGTAATGAATATATAGAAACACTGACTGAAATGTTGAAAACAATAATAAAATAGCAATGGTGATAATAACAACAATAACAACAGTAATACTAATAATGATAAAAACAATACCAATATATATAAATCAGATATTTGGCTGAGGATTGACTAATTTATGTAGTTCTTTCCGAGTTTTTGAAAGAATCCATTTACTCATCATTTTTTTAAATAAGTGGTTTGAGTTGATCCTCTTTATTTCAATGGGAATTAAATTATAAAGTTTAGGACCTAAGTAAGGGTAGCTTCTTTGCATTAGACATTTTTCAGCCCTTGGCATATAAAAGCGATTCTCTTTAAATCTAGTACTATAGGAATGGTCGATATTCACAAGTTCATGTTTGTTATTGTGTTGTCTCATAAGAATGTTCTTACAGAATAATTGACGAATATCCATTATTTTGGTTTCAGTTAATAGAGTTTGAGTTCCATATCTCCAAGGTTTTTTATAAACTATTTTCAACAAACGTTTTTGTACTAATTCTAGGCTGAATAAATGTGTGTTTAAAGCTCCACCCCACGCTATGATTCCATAATTGATATGTGTTTCTATGAGGGAATGGTAAAGTATTTTCATTTGTTGAATTTCGAGAACTTGAGATAGTTGTTTGAATTTGAAAAGTAAACTACGAAGTTTTTTAGTTACATATACAATGTGTCGGTCCCATCGGAGATGACTATCTATGAAAATTCCTAAGTATTTTATACTATTGATGCCGGATATTTCAATTGATTCGTCTTGGATGCTAATGTTCAATTTTTGGAAGGATGGTAAATTTGTGGCGTATGACGTGAATGGTATAAAATAAGTTTTTGTATAGTTCACCGTTAGTAATTTTCCATTGAACCACTCGAAAATAGATGAGAGATCTTTCTCTGCATTCTCTGTAAATAGTCATAATCATCATTACAACATCATTATGTTCATTACTCAGTTTACTGAAATGTTTCAGTACGAATAAATAGGAGCAGAAATTAACCACACGTGACGAACCACCCCCGTTTTTCGGCGATATTTTCCTTTACTTCTGTATAGTAGAATGAGTATTCAATTAGTAGAAATACCGGTCGTATGGCTCACCCCCACACCTCCACCTTTCTCAAAAACCATGTGACACAGCTGACATATCACAGGCCACCATTCTGTTGGAGGCTCCGCCCACTCATAAAATGGCGCTAGATTTAAACGCCACTCTGCTATGATAATGAGTGACATGGGACATGATGATAAGGTTACTAAATCAGTAAAACATGAATTATATAGGAAACATGGAATAATTTATCAATTCAGCATAATGAGATGCAGTAACAAGATCAGTCTTAACGAATTATATATGGAAAGTTAAATGAGTTATCAATTCAGCATAATGAGATGCAAATATATCAATTTTGATCCTATGGTGGTTTAGTTTTTTTTGTGTAGGCCTCAATGCTGGGTGTTTAAGTATTCGAAAGTTGGTATTGCTGACGTGATTTAAAATTTATTAAAAACAATAAATGTAAACGATCTAACTATACATAATTACAGGCGATGGAAATGCTGACACCTAAACAATAAGTGTAATCACCGTCATCAATTTACATCAATAACCGAATTGTTACAAGATTAGTAACTTTTGAGCAAGAATCATTCATCAATTGATATATTTATTATAGAAACATATACAGTCTGTCCAAGATAAGGTTGAACAGCATGGGGATCTCGAAAACGGTAGGAGATACGAAGTCGGTTAAATGGGGAAAAAGTTGCGCATTCGGAGGCTCATATAAAGAGCCTTCGAAAATTTTCAAAATTATTTTTAGTTTTTTAGTTATATCGAAAAAAGTGAATTTTTGGAATATCTATTTTATTTTTGTTTCTCCGTTATCATTAGAGATACAGAAAAACTGAAAGTACTTTTTCATAGCAACTTCCGATGACGTTTAACGTGGTGATACCAATTTTTCTATGCGACGTTTCGTATTCGTAGAACCATCATCAACTTTTGTTTTTTAAATACGGTCCTGATAATTTTTTCACAGATTCTGAAAGGTTTTTTTATTCTGAATTCAACCATGTATCATACAAGGTGGTTTATGTGTGTTTCGACCTATTTTTAACCATCATCAATGTTTTTTCGAAATTCCAAAGGAAAAATGCCATCAGTTCCACTTATTTTGAAGGAAAATTAGTCAACACACTGATACCTCATTAACTGGTTTCAATCAACAACAGATTTCATTTTGCGGAAACAAAAATTCCATCCATACAAATTCAAAATATGTCAAGCGCTAAAACCAGGCGATAAGGACAGGCGCAGGACATTCTCTGTGAGTGGTATACCAGGAAATGTCAAAATTTTGCAGATTTCCCGCAAACAATCATCTGGACTGATGAAAGCATGGTCACTAATCATGGTATCTTCGATAGAAAAAATACACATTATTGTTCACGAGTCACGAGAAAATGAACATTTATACATTACAGCGAGACACCAACACCGTTTCGGCTTTAATATGTGGGTTGCAATATTTGGTACACGAATTATTGGTCCTTTTATTCACCATGAAACACAGACTTCCTAACGTTATAGAAATTTGCTTGAGAATCACCTTGAGGAAGCTCTGGACGATTTTCCGATTGCGGAAGTTCAGAACTGTTGGTTTCAACAAGATGACGCTCCGGTACATAATTCCAGAGGAGTTCGTGCGTTTTTATCCAGAAAACTGGATTGGTACTCATTCTGCAGTCCCTTGGCCGGCGCGGTCACCTGATTTGACACAGCTGAATTTTTTTTTAGGGGATATATCAAAAACTTTGTACACGCAAATAGCAATTTGATGATGAAGAAAACATCAAACAACAGTGTCATCGAAGCATTCAATAGGATAACCCCAGAAATGCTTAGTAATGTCTTAGAAGCAACTGTGAGAAGAGGATATCTTTGTTCAGAAAATGATGGATATCATGTTTGAACATTTGTTATGAATGTTTCTGAAGGTATTGTCAAAGTTAAGTTGTTAAAGTAATTCGTGTAAGAGTTCATCAACAATTTTAAGCGCTGCATTGAACGATGTAGTGAAATATTTTTCATTCACTTTTCAGTATTTAATAACTAATCCATCAATGTTTGACACTAAATGATCAAAAATAAATAAAAACTGATGGCACTTTTCTTTTGGAAGTTCGAAAAAACAATTATGATGGATTGAAATAGGTCGAAACACATTCGAATCACCTTGTATAATACATGGTTGAATTCAGAATAAAAAAACCTTTCAGAATCTGTGTAAAAATTATCAGGACCGTATTTAAAAAATAAAAGTTGATGATGGTTCTACGTATACGAAACGTCGCATAAAAAAATCGGTATAACCACGTTAAACGTCATCAAAAGTTGCTATGAAAAATTATTTTCAGTTTTTCTGTGTCTCTAATAATAACAGAGAGAAAAAATAAAATAGATATTCCAAAAATTCACTTTTTTCGATATAACTAAAGAACTAAAAATAATTTTTGAAATTTTCGAAGGCTCTTGATATGAGCCTCCGAATGCGCAACTTCTTCCCCATTTAACCGACTTCGTATCTCCTACCGTTTTCGAGATCCCCATGCTGTTCAACCTTATCTTGGAGAGACTGTATATTTGGTCAGTTGTACGATGAATTGATGTTCATTATACAGAGGTTTCTCCAATAATAAAAGAATTTATGCAATAGTTCTGATCTGAAACTGTCGGGGTATGATATGTAGTGAACACAGTTCAGTGAAGGAATTCGAAAATAAAGGGTAATGGGAGAAATGTTTCACACCAAGCTGTGAAGCTGTAATAGCCTATCCCTTTTTCTATCAACGGTGAAGTCTTCGGATACATGTGGCATTTTATCTTTACGACAAAATGTGCAAAGCTAGGACCGCAGTCATGGCAAATGCATGGCTAACCCCAGTCTCAATTTGACATTGTTGTTTTTGATGATGTTGTTGATCACGTGTATATACTGATGAGGAATGGCAGGGTGTTGAAATACTAGAAGAAAAAATGCATTTTTTATTTGACTGAGCTGTAGAATATTTTGTGCAAGAAACAAAATTGCACTCGTCTCGACATCACCCAAGAGGTACAGTTCTTGATGCGTTTGCTTTTTTCAAGTAAAAATCACCCCCATTAGGCCTGCAAAGGAACACTCAAAATATTTAGGATGAATAATTCATTATAGAACAGGCGATTGATGATGAAATCATAGCAATTTGTTCTAAATCAGACTGCACGAAGATTCATCCCTATATTGATAAAAACACTTCATTAATTTGTCTGATGATGTCTCTTTTTCTCAGAACAGGTGACCGTTGACATGAAATCAGAGCAGTGCTTGTTTGTTCAATTTTTTGCTGCATGAAAATTGGTTTCTTATTCATAAAAAAAACTTCTTCAATTTCCTAGATGGTTGGGACTCTTTTTTCATTGG